TACCTTACTAATTCAATACTACCAAACATAGCCTTAAATCATTTCAATTAAATTTATATTTTTATAAACTATCAAATTTAATTTAACGATTTAAATTTATAGATTTTTCTCTCTCCTGTTTTTCTCTTGCAGAGGATGAAAACCATCTCGAAGGATATGTAAAATACGGCATAATGGAAACAGCGGCGGAGGCGTGGAGCTAAGAACTCGCGTCAGGCAGTGCGAGTATTTTCCCCTGCCTGTCCAGTGTGAATGATTTTGTTTATATAACTCTTTTAATATGTGTTTACATTTAAATTATAAATTTAAAAGTTCAAATTCAACTCAATTTAATTAATTTTAAGATAATTAAAAAATATTTATAAAACCTTAACTATTAAGTTAAAATTATATGCGCTCTACCCATGATGAGTGATCATGATAGAACAAGTGCTTTTTAAATTTAAGAAAACTGATGATTATGGAGTTTGGGCACCAAGCAAGAATCATCTATAAATAGAGGAGCCTTCTCTCAAGCATGGGCATCAACAAATCACTAGTCTCAAATTTCGTGTCTGTTACTTTATTTTACTTTTTCTTCTATCATATAATTTTATATTAATTTTTTTATATTTTATTTTTACATTTAGGTGAACTGTGATAAAGGAACCTAAATTCACTGCGTTTAAATAAAAGTTAAATCTTTTTATTCTTTTAAAATCTTGCATTTCTGACACGCCTCACAACAGCATGTTTGATTATTTTTTATAAACAGCATGTTATTTAAAAATTGGATTGGTACGTGAGTATTAATTTAATGAACTGCACTACTACACGGGATGCGCAAAAAGCACATCATCGGCTGCAACAATATTGCCGTTTTAACAAGCAGAGTAGCACTATTTGAAACCGAAAAAAACAAAATATTAATGTAGTCAGCAGTGTGCCAGTGTCAAGTTGGAGATTTGAGCGAGTAGAGCTCAAAACCTCGTTGGAAAAGCCTGCTTGCGTTCAAGATCATACGCAAATTCAATTTAATTAATTAGATTCTAATGTGATTTTATATATTATTAAGTTTGAATTCATGTAAATAAAAAATATTTTTTAAAATGATGTTTAATTAGAATCAATAATGCTTGAATCTAACAACATTGTACAGCATTTTTTTTTGAAAACAGCCAATTTTTTTACTCTTCCATCTCCGTGTTCAAGTAAAATATAATACAAAATTAAACAATTGATTTATTTCAACATCAAAGTTAAAAATATATAAACTGAAAACTACCAGTTTAATATTAATCTTTAGTCTGTCTAGATTTTAAATTTTTTATTCTTAATTTTAAACGATGATTTTGTAATGAAGCCAAAGGGGCATGCCCGTAAAATTGGATTATTTTTCAAAAAAATAAAAATAAAGAGAGGACGTATTGTAATTTTTTTTTTTAGACCGGAAGGAAATATTGTCTTTTTGAATTATGCAATCCAAAGCTTGAACATCTAAAAAAACACTAAAGCAACCAAAATCTTATCTTATTATATCTTACTTCCTTCCTTCAAATTAACCTTATTTTTTATATTTATTTTTATTAAATATCTTATAATAAATAAAGTCATTATTAATAGAGGTACTTTAAAAAAAACAATGATTACACATTAAAAAACTAAAATATTTTGTATTTTTTAACATTTAACTTCTTAAAAAATATTTTAAAGGAATGAGCATTATCTTTTATATTGTAAAGTCTGTCATTTATTACTGTGCATAAATAACAGTAACAAAATTATTTTCATTTTAAATTTATGTATGTTTAAAGATTATATGGAACCTACAATGAAAAAAATAAGTGTGAGATCCATGATGAAAAAATAATGGAAAATATGAGATTCACGTAAAAAATAACAGGCACGAGACATTATTTATTATTTGTATTTTGCATATGTACGAGATAATAAATTGTGAAGATAAAAAAAGATAACAAATTGTAGACTGAAATACAAATAATATCTTTAAATAATATTTTTTTATTTTAACATACACAGGGTAAAAAATTATAAATCATCTATACATATTGCGAAGTTTAATGTTAATTAATAGTTTTTTTATCCACAACCCCATTGAGCTTTTTTAAGAATCTACTCCATATATTTTAGCTTTTTTTATTTGTTGGGAGAAAATTCAAGAAATAATAAGAATGTGAGGCCATGATTAGGAAGGCAGCTGTGGGACTCATGGTTGAGCGAAGACGGGAGTGACATTAAAAGTAAAAAATAAATAACGAATGCGAGAGCTGTCGTAAAAACTGTGAGCATTAACATGCAACAATGATATTACCGACTTAATTTACATAAATTATAAAAAAATATGTATAATTTAATGAATAATTTTTATTATTTTAAATCTTAACTCACATGGAATAACAAAGTCTACAAAAACCATTTTTGTGATTGTATTTTAAATTATACAATATAATAAATTTTGAAATAAAATAAATTTATATGGGATAAACAATGACTTAATATTTAAAAAAATCACATGTTGCAGGATTATGTATGGCTTATTAAAAATGATACGAGAGAGACTCATCATATGTTGATTGTGTGTATATTAATATATATGGGGTATGTTATTTATGTTTTCAATTCGTGCATGCATAGAACAAATTAAAACGATACAAGATTTTATTTAAATTTAAATTTAATTTTTGATATATGTCACATAAATTTTAAAATTTAATTTTATAATTTTTTTTGTGTGGGCTCTTGTATCCCTTTGACCCTGATTCGGTTGACAATTAAAGGCATTTCTTTAGGGGCATGAAATAAAAATTTTTAAAACAAAACTTGTTTTTTCATGTGGATCTCTAAAATTTTCCTTAATTTAATTGTTATTTTTCTTGTCATGCAATACATGTAATTGAAAACAGTATTACCATCAATCCTATATATGAATCACTTTTTATAAATAATGGATTTTTTTTCAATTTTACTTTTTACTACTCACTTTGTTTAAAAATATAAGGCATTTTTTGAGAAGTTGAATATTAAAAAATATAAGATATTTTTAATCTTTTAAGGTATAATTATTGTATTTTTTTCTAAAAGTGCCCCTATTGATAATAATTTTATATTTATTGTAGGGTGTTTAATAGGGATAAATATAGAAAGACAAGGTTAGTTGGTAAGTAGGTAACTACTTTATTGGGAGGTGAGATTCGATTAAAAATGTCTTACATTTTTAAATGGAGGAAGTATTTTTTTAATGATAGAGGAAAAATATATGTATAAAAGAAAAATTATCTTTTAAATATAACACATTTAATGAAGGTAAATTAATTTTTTTTAGACAAAACTAATAATTTAACTAATATTAGCTATAATATTAATTTAAGATCATTATTTATTAATATTATTAGCTATGCTGTTTATACTATAATATTAGCCATGCTATTTATTAATCTAAAATTACCATTTATTTAATATATGACATACATTATTGTATAGAATTTACTATTGTACATAATTTATTTTTTTCCAGGATGATGCTTGTGTCAACAAATTCTGAAAGTAAATAAGTTAAATATAATTTAATTTGCAGGAGGTGAGAAATAAAAAAATATTTGCATTCTTTAATCTACACAAGGCCCTAATGTATATTAAAAAGTTACCTTTATCATAAAGGTAGCATATTGAGAAATAGAAATTGTTGCTTATATTTTAATTTACCAGAGGCAACCAATGCTGGATTAGAAAAAAAATTTGGGGGTAAAATTTTCTCCTTTGATTAATTATGGGTAGAGAATTTAGCAGGAAATATATTTCTTAACTTGATTTTAAAATTTTTCCACATATTAAAAAAAAAAGTGCAATGTACTCTAGGCATAACACGCTTCAAAATAAAATAAGTAATTACGTTTACCTTCAAGATATTTTGAGTATATAAAAATAAATTATTTTTTAATTTATAAATTTTATTTTAATTTTATATTTTAAATATTAAAATATCTCATGCATCGCATGAGAAATATAAAACAAAAAAATCACCACTCCTGAAAAACTTTGTATTGAAATTAATAGGTGTCAACTTGTGGTTAAAAGTACAAATTCTCAATTTAAACTCATTTGAACGAAAAAATATTTTTAAAAAAAATTATAATTAAACTCAATAATATTTAAATTTAATTCAATTTTTTTAGCAAAATTTGAATCTAATCCGATAAAGCAAATATAAGATGTAAGTATGTAGCTGCGTGTGAGAAGTCTGTTTGTATTTGGTTCATTTAAAAAAAAAAATGAATTAGAAATACAGTGGGGCCCACCAAACGTTTCTGATCTGTTTGGTTCGAAGAATCATGGGAAATATAATGTAATGTAATGCTGGAAAATGAAATGGAATGAAACGTAATATAATACGAATTACATGTATTTATTTAATATATTATATGAGAAGAAATATTTTAATATAAAATGTGATTGTAATATGAATTATATAATTTTATTGATATAATTCTCTTTACAACATATGATATAATTTTCTTTACATGATGTAATCTTTTTTATTTTACCTGATGTCAATCAAATAGTTAAAATCTTGTGATGCATTACTATTATAAGTAATTCTCTTACATTACATTGAATCAAACGGGCTATTCATGTCATGAGAACAAGGGCTTGAATTCATGCTATCCGTTTATAGGGACAAATTTAAAGGTTATCTCACGAGACCAATATAAAAGAATTCATGGAAGTAGGGGAGTAAAAAAATTAGTTTTATCATTTTTCTCAACAAAACATGAACAAAACTTATAAAACAGATACGTGACATGATGATTGCCCTTCCCCAGCTAATTACTAAAGTTCATATTTAAATCTCAAAAAATTATAATACATTAAATATTTGGATTAAATTAAAAAAAGGATCGGGGGCCAAATGAGTTGGCCGCGCGTCACATGACTCAACACCCATGAACTTGCTACTGCCAAATGTTTTAGGTCAGAAGTCTCTTGTCATTGTAGATTCCGGATCTTTAACGAGGAGGGCTATGCAAGCCTATTTTGATTATTGTCGAAATGGAAAAGCCCACTTCGACTTCCTAAAGTCGGCCTATCACTCTCATAATTACACGTCCTCCGATTTCACGCTCTGCGCTACGGACGCGTTCTCCGTCACTTTCTCTTCTCTTTACTTCTGCGCCTTTTGCGCCTCCGGAGCAGCACGATGGCGGCAAATTCACTTACGGGAGCATCAATCTCCATGCGGTCTCGCTTTCCTCAATCGAATCACAGTCTGGTTCGTCTTGTTTTCCATCTCGATCCTTTGCTACTGTGGATTTCGTTTTTCTTCCATACTTCATCTGCTGTTTTTCAGGTAGTGTTTGAGGGAGGGGTTATAATGACTTGTTATTTTGTTGAGATGAAGGGGAGGAAAATTCTTGTTTAGTTTAGGAGAGGGAGCGAGCTAATTATAAATTGACATTATATTATTTCAATTCTCTTCCTATTTTTTTCTTTTTAATAAAAAACTGTTTATATCATGATTTATTGTTTTTCTAATTTTTGACCACTTAGCTTATCTATGATAATTTTTTTTTTTGAATACATGGCAATGGCAAACTGTACAGGAAGATTAAGATCTGGTCGTGTTTAAAACTAAGAGGCACAGGGCTTATCGAAGATTGTAGTATCAAAGTTGTTACATGAAGTTGTGCGGGCTTATCTATGATAAATTTTTTAATATGCAGATGATTTGATGAATTTTACAGAGACAAATAAGGCAGTGTTTGGTTGAGGGGAGGAGAAATAGGGAGGTTGGAGTGAGGGGAGGGGTTGTTATACACATGGACTAAAATAAACCCTACTACTCTCCTTTTCACTCCCAAGTCCCAACTCTCTTCTATGATAAAATTAATTTTTGTATAGTATGGAAATAAAGTTTGTTTTCGTCATTGAATTCTGGCCAAAAAAAATTATTGAAGCAATTCTCATGAGAGCAAGACGCTTACGAGTGACACTAGAAAACAGATATTTCCTCCATGCCCATCTGATTATCACTTAGTGGTGCCATGCTTCAAAAATGTTCGACATATTGAATCGTGTCTCCTATTAATATAAACATCTCTACTTGCAACGCAGGGCTCAGTAACAATTGACACACTAATTGTTTTTTTTTTTTAATAGAAGCACCTATAATGTCTTATAACTTTGTTTTCTTGTTTCATTATGTTTATTGTTGAAGTTCTCATGAATGCACATATTGAACAGGTATTTCATTCTATTTCTGGGAGAAGCAACGTTTCCTTTAGTTGGCAGCCACACTTCACTCGCCTTAGAGTCACCTGTGCTGTATGTAGTGCTTTAACTTTCTTCTAGTGCTAAAGATTGTAACTTATTTGGATAGTAACTTCAGCTTTGCGTGGACACTGAATCACCTGACGCATACTTCTTAAAACTATAGTTAGTAGGGTTCTTACTTGGATTGCATGTAATGAGGTGCAATTTATAACAAGAGCTCGAAACTTACCAGTTTGAAGCAAAGATAATGATCAATTGACAAAATTTGTGGAGTGAAAGATAAAATGGTAAACATATCAATCCCAACTAACGTCTCACTCAATTTTTCCCGGTTATAACATGGAGGTCATAGTGACCTGTATAGTCCCCATAAGAAATTACTTCTCAAGAGCAGCAGAACTTACAAGTAGTGCTATTAGTTTTATGCAGATCACCATCCAAGAATGTCTATAACCTTCGAATCAGAATTTTTAAATGAAAATTTCATCATTCTGATCCCCCGTATTGTGTAAACTTTCTTCAGAGAATAAATTTGATCGGAGCCCGCTGACATGTATATGTGTAATTTGAAACAAACATTTCATATATCTATATGGAGAGAGATTGATTTTATCCAGTAGCATCAGTCAACTCCAGGATTTCTGAGTGAATAAACACTCCGACCCCCTCCCATCCCTCACTCTCTTACACATGTAATGATCTTGAATATTAGGACTGCCATGTCATATGTGTATAGGTGCGTGCGTGCATGTGGGTGTGCGTTGTTTGTAATGCTTATGTTTAATTTCTTGAGCAGGCTAAACCTGAGACAGTGGAAAAGGTTTGCAAGATAGTGAAAAAGCAGCTAGCCCTACCAGATGATTCGAATGTCACTGGCGAGTCAAAATTTGCTGCTCTTGGAGCCGATTCCCTTGACACGGTATTCAGTATCTAGCAATATTATGTGAATATTTAACTTGCTATTATTTAGTAATGGACCATTTCCTATCCCGGTATGAATTGATGACTGTAATGGAATAAGCTGACATCGAATAAACTTACATCTGTTGTCTCAGGTTGAGATCGTGATGGGACTGGAGGAGGAATTTGGTATTAGCGTGGAAGAGGATAGTGCGCAGAACATCACAACAGTTCAGGAAGCTGCGGATCTTATTGAGGCGATAATTGAGAAACAAATTCCTTAGCACTGATCCATATTCATAATCTGGGCTAATGTGAAGTTCATCAGAGTATGCTAGTTGCGAATTTTGGAATTGCTTCTTTTGTTGGGAGAACAAATAAAACAAACAAGCCTCGTGTAGATCTTGAAACTTAAGAAAGGGATTCCATAGTTTTGTTGAGTCATGCTGACTTCATTGACAAGAGAACTGGCCATTGCGGCAATTGCGTTAGCGTGAATTAATATTTAACCAGAAAATAAGTGTTTACTTACTAATAAATATTGGTTCAATTTGTAAAGATTTGGTTTACATCCTGCAAGAGTATGATTTTAAATTTTAACTTATTATCAACGAGAGGATTTTACAAGAATGTCAAGATTGGACACATCTATTTATTTTCCCTCAATGAAAAGTTGAGTTTGAATTTGATGGGAACGGGAATCTTATCTACAGTTTGCAATGACCAAGAAACATGTATTGCAGAGTATGAGAAATCAGATGAAAGAATCATGGCTGAGCATGATGAATGGTCTGGCAGGCAAACCTTCCCCACGCCACACTCTTTCTTTTAACAGTGTGTGACGTGTAAGCAGTTGTATTCTGCTATCGTCTTTTGAACCAGAAAAAGTGGGTAAGCTCCAGTCACTGGAAACATTTAAGAAAATCTGGTTGCAGGAATAAGGTGGCAGGCGATGCAAATGAAGTGCCATCCTGGCTTTCCAAAAATTTAAGAAAAATAGAAAAGTCGAAAGCTATGGTAAACTCGAAATCATTGAAGGAAAAATGCAAACGGCATGTGAGTTAATTGGCGAAGTTTAAAAAGAAACAAGTAACGTGATAGTTAATGGCAACCAACATGACCCGTCCGTCATCTTCCTTTGGGGCTGTGGTCTCAGCCGAAGGCAGTCAGTTGATACATGATACCCAACACCAATTGACATGCCGACGAACAGTTGAGATCTTAAAATCTGATGTCTATGTGCTTATTAACCTCTATGTACATCATGTCGCGAACTTGCTATTAATTCCGAAATAGTCGATAAAACATCATTGCCACTCTGAATTGAAGAAACCAGCATCTTTCATCTCAGAGTAATACGAATTCTCCAAATGTAAATCATCCTCCTATCAAAATGATCAAAGGACAACTAACCAGTCAGACAATATAGCAAAGGTTGTCTTCGCTTAAAAAATGTAAAGGCTTGGAAGTTAAAAATTGAAGGTCGCCAAGTGAAAGACAGAACCTGGAAAAAGTCTGCTAAGAACGTCACGTACAGAAGAGGAAGATAAAACGCGTGGTAACAGACAACAGTGGCCTCATAAAACCTGTGAACAAGAAATAAACACAAAGCTTCAGTGGAATATGCCAGAGAGAGAAGCTCTCAAGAATTGTTTTTCTTCTCTAAGCTGTGAGACTCTAACCAGAAACCAAAATCAGCACCAGTTCCAGTCAGGCCGCAAGCAAACAATGAAATTGCATTCAAGATGAACATGACAGTCACGTACTTGTAAAATGCAGGTCTTGCTGCAGAAAAGGAAAGCAAATTGAGCAATCATGATGCTAAGCACAAGCACATGAATGATGTACCAATCCATACAAGTAACTTACCCGGTAACCTTTCCCTCCACCTGGAATGATACATAAATAATATGAAGGCATATACAGCAGTAAGCAATACCTTGTGGACAACCCACAAGTTCCATTTCACAGGACGGGTTTGATCATGACTGTCAATGAAAATAGGAATCCCAAATCCAAACAGATAAATAGCCTGAAAAGGAAACGTGCGCAATGGTTTATCTTTAACACAAAACAATACCATTAATTTTTGCAATTCCAATAGGAATTGAAAATATGTAGAAATCCTCAAAATTTTTCAGAGATTTGTACTTTGAAAATGTAAACAGAATAAATGAACAATAACTAGTAGTGTGAGAAGCACTTACATGGAAAGTATTTTTCTGAGAATGATGCTCGACAAAAAGTAAAAGCAATTCAGCTGAAAACCTCAAATGAAAACTTTTTTCTTTATAAACCAAACACCATATGAAATAGCAAAAAGAAAGCACGTAAACACAGGGTCTAAACTGAAGGGGGGGGGATTGCATCTTCCCTCCTGGTGCAGGCGGTAAAGTTACAAGTAGGACAAGAGGGCTTCTGATGAAAATCAGTGAATTACCTTTAACACTATGTCCAAACCAACAATAACACCCGAGATACCAAAAGTCCGCGTCAATGCTTCTAAGCCACTTGCATTATTTCCCTGGAGTAAAAAGGCCAGCAAGCTTACTTCCAGGAATAGCATAGCAGATGTAGTAAACAAAGACAACAAGTTCCATGCCAACTGATTCCCAGGAGTGCATTCCCATGCCTAACACAAGAAATATTGAGGTTACTCTCAAGTGTCATTGCAATACCAGCATCAGTAAAAGATAAGCATAACACAGATCAAAGTTCAATGCAAGTACGATCTACAACAATATAAAATAAAAGTGCTCCATTAATATTTTGTACATACGAAAGCAACACAAGTCTAGTATTAATATATTTAAACTAAAGCAACAAGGAAGTTAGAACAAAAGGTGATCAATTCTAAACCCACTCATCTGGGAAAATAACATCATGATTTGCAGGCATAGATCAAATTATGAAAGAAATGAAATCTATAGTAGAATTTAAATAAAGGATATTGAAACTTTCAATCTCTAAAGTTTGTCTCAGTTATCGATTTGGCCCTTGAAATTTGATCTATATCAATCAAGTCCCTAAAATTTCGTAATCATACACAATTAGTCCTGATGATGGTACTTTCACTCCAAATCAAAAGGACTAATTGTGTATGGTTTTGAAACTTTAGGGACTTGATTGATAAAGATCAAATTTCAAGGATCAAATTGATAATTGAGACAAACTTAAGGAACTGAAAGTTTCAGTACCCTTTAAAGAACGTTATGCAGTTAGAGTCACAATTTTCATTCCTCAATATTTTCTAGAGCTATGAACTTGTGACTTGCTCGTTTTAGGAGGAGAAAAAACAGGAATATTTCATTTATAGCCAGACACATTTCTTTTAGATGGTTCTGTAGGTTGAAAGGCGGAAGCATGCTTTTAATTCCTGTAGGCAGAGAATTTGACATCAATTCTATGTCACCAAGATTTACGACTGCCTTGTAAAGTTCACAGAAGCATATACGCACAGTAGCAGAAAATTCAAGTTCATCAGCGGTTCTCATGAAGAAACAGCTACACAAAATATAGCAATGATCCCTTCAAGTGGATAGCCCTGTACATCACTATTGGCCAGGCCAATTAAATAAGTAAATCACCAAAGTGATGTCTAGATTACAAAAAGACCTAAACAAATCTCTTCTTGTTCATTCAGAAAGAATTGCATCAAACTTTGCCCGCGTCAAGCTGTCCTATAACGCTCACTGGCCATTCATAATAATCCAGAAAGCAGACAAACCATGTAACCAATAAATTTAAGGAACGTACCTGGAAAAAGCACCAAAAAAGATTGAGCACGCTGGCAAGCCAGAGGCATACGTAGTACGATATAATAACATAAGACCGGCCATGCGAGAGCCTTACAAAGCTCTGCTTGGCTTGAAAAGCCAAGTACAAGACGAAAATAAATGAGGCTATAATCGAAGCCGCATTATGCCAGAAGCCATGGCACTCAAGAAGCCAATCGTAAAACCTGTGATCAGAATTCTCTGACAATACCGTGCCAGAACTTGAGAGTTGCGTTAGCACAGACTGTGAAATCATCTCTAGGAAAGCTCGCTCTTTGGTCAAAGGCTCAAAAGTATGCTGGCGCATATGGAAATGGAACTGTGAAGCGGGAATCAATTCATCAAGAGTCACAGAGGAAAACCCTAAACCTGCGGAAAAAGGAACCGTGAACGAGCGAACAGAGCTGAATAAGATCAATCTCTGGCTAGGAGAACGCACGGAGCATATCACGCGCAAGGGTGGACTGGTTGTTGGGCAGAAGTTATTACAAGATTGCCAAAACTAGAGCTGGTAATATGTAATATTGGAGTTCAACCACCAACTTGCAAAATTGCGACAGATTGGGTTTTAAAAAATAAGTTGATTAAAATGCGGGTCGATTTAAACTCACACAGCATAGCTCAAACTTATAGCAGGTTAATCCGTGGGTTGATGGGTTAACTCGCTTTTTTTTTTTTTTTTCTTTCTTTCTTTCTTTTTTTTTTTTTAAAAAAGATGAAAAGAAAGTAATGCTGTGCTCATTCGATTAGGCGATCCCTCTATCACACAAACCTTAAACCCTCACGATTACTCAAGCGGTCAATCTGTCGGTGTGGGTTGGTAGATTGGTCTATATATAATCTGTATAAAATGCAGGTTATGCCAACTTGTCTCGCATGACTTGCAATCTGCTACAACCCACAAACTAGCTTATATTATCAGCTCTAGTCAAAACTTTATTTTAAAAATATAAATTTAATCATGGCTAGTAGGCATCACAAACACCACTAAAAATATGAGCATTTCTTGCTGCAGAATTCAATTCAATATATTTTTAAACTTTATGATTTTTCAAATTATTAATTTCACATAAATTTTTTTTACTGCAATTATTTCTGTTTGTCCAATTTTTTAAATAACTGTAATTCCTATAAATAATTCAATTAACAAGTATAATATTTTAATGTCTAAACAATTTAAATTTTTATTAACAATGTGTAAACATTTAATTAATCAAGTAATTGATATCAACTAAACAATTTGGAAATGATGACACTGCCATTTTTCGAAAAACACATTGAATTGCTTGTGCAGTTCTTTCCCGGCAGCGCTATAAGAGATTTATTATGTTTTTTTAAGCAATGAAAGATGTATTCTAACCAAGGTAATTGGCCAACATGTGAATTAGGTTTTGAGATTGATTGGGAAAGAGGCTAGAATAGATAGCGTGAATATGATCTAGCTGCATCCCGTCTTTCAATGATCACAAAATTAAAATTGATAATTTAAATTAAGGCTGACGGACAATCTCAAATTTGTCAAAAAAAATTTAAGGCAAAACCTGACAAAATAAAATTTTATGAATGTTTAAAATTATTAAGGCTAGTCTGAAAAGACCCAAAAAAATTGGGGCCACAAATATCCAAATAAAAAATTTATATTGTTAAAAAATATATAAAATATAATAAAATTTAATTAATTATTTAATTTTATTTCATTTTATACTAAAATATTAGATATTTAAATGTATTATTATACTTATTTTAAAAAAATTTAAAAATTTATTTTTAATAAATAAAAAATATATTAAAAATAATATTAAAAATATATTTTAATATTTATTTTTATATTTTAAGATTTACATATTTTTTAAAAAAAGATTTGAATCCTATACAGAGTTTATGTATAAAAAAATGTACTATATATTTTCTATAAAATAAAATAATTAATTCTAAATTAAAAAAATTAAAAATAATTTTAACAATAAAATTTGGGCATACGTGAATTATTGATTCTATTACTATATAAACATAATAAATAGAATTTTATCTTTAAATAATTATTTGGTTATACTCTATGTCAAACTTAGTTAAAAATTAATAATAAATTAGAGTAAATCTTAAAATGTTAAATAATATAAAAAATTAGAAAAAAATTTCATAAAAAATAATATTTTACTCATAATTAAATAATATTTTTATATTATATAATAATGAATTTTTTTAATATTATTAAAAACAAATAGTACAATTTATTTAAAAATAAAAAGTATAATTTATTCAAAGGTTATTGAAAGTTTTGAACAATCAGGATAATAATTTTAAATTAATAGTTTAATTGTAATTAAATTAAATCAATTTAATTATAATTAAAATATAATTTAAATTTAATTAAAATATATAAAATATTTATATATAATCATGATAATAGTAATATTTAAATAATTAAGATGTTGTTTTACAGGTAAGAGAATCATTCATGAATAAATTAAATAGAATACAATAAAATAATAATAAAATTACTTAAGAATAAAGTTGATAAATTATTTTTTTTTAAATTCAAAATGATGTTTTATGCTTAACACAATCACTTAATTTGGTTTAAAAATAGAGAAAAATATTTTTAAAAAGTTTCAAATGTTCAAATCAATTCGCATAAGTTTGAAGCCCAAATATATTAAGATTGAATTTGATTATATAAAATTTTTATGTAAAATAAGATATTTTTAAATTTTATTTAAATTAAGCTTGATTTAAATAAGTTTACCTTGTTAAAATTACTCGCTCTATACAAATTAAGACGAGGGCTTGAGCGTTGAGGAGTGACTTCCTTTTTTTTTAAGGGGGTTCTGCCGCGAGATTCAGAGCTACTTGTCACGGGCTGAGAGTCTGGCGCAGCACACTGTCACGGATGATATCTCCGTGACCGTGTAAAGACCAAGATAATGAACGATCCGCTGGTTAGCCTCGCACAATATGGGTAAAGGGGGCGACATTAGCATTGGGGGTGTTCTACCTCAGTCTTCGAACTGAGTGCACAACTGGTTGGGGGCTGGTGCCGCCTCCCTGATGAGCCCATGGCAGGACGAAACCAGTGTGATCCGTATGTGGTAAGGCTTGTCCTAAGGATTATGGGGTCCTCCAGGACGCCGCACGGGCGCCGTGTGCTGCGCCAGACTCTCAACCCGTGACAGAGTGGTATCAGAGCAGGACGTACTTTACTGCCGTGCGCGCGTGGGGTCCCACGTTGGGACTGGTCGGCCTCGGCACCGCTCCAGAAAGGCCTCCGAGCAGGTGGGTTCAAAAGTGGGGACTCGGGCGAGAAGGTTTGCTTGTCGACTCCACTCCTGTTGGCTCGCGGGTGCGAGTGGGTCCGAAGAGTGCAGGACTCGGGTGGCCACTCAGCTGTAAGCTGATGTGTTTGTGGCAGTACTGTACGTACGATTCTTGGGCGGAGTCGTTCTCCCCTAGCACGAGGGCGTGCTAGATTGGGTGTGGGAGAATGTCACGGGTGATATTCCGTGACCGTGTAAAGACCAAGATAATGAACGATCCGCTGGTTAGCCTCGCATAATATGGGTAAAGGGGGTGACATTAGCATTGGGGGTATTCTGCCTCAGTCTTCGAACTGAGTGCACAACTGGTTGGGGGCTGGTGCCGCCTCCCTGATGAGCCCATGGCAGGGCGAAACCAGTGTGATTCGTATGTGGTAAGGCTTGTCCTGAGGATTATGGGGTCCTCCAGGACGCCGCACGGGCGCCGTGTGCTGCGCCAGACTCTCAGCCCGTGATCACACTGATTTCGCCCTGCCATGGGCTCATCAGGGAGGCGGCACCATGATATCTCCGTGACTACTGCCTATTAAGGGTTTGCTTTCTTATATCAAACATCTATCTTGTCTCTCTCTCTCTCCCCCCCTCCCCCCCTCTTTTTGATTGAAAATATCTAATTCTCCGCCTAAAGATGAAAATGAAGCGTAGCGGGTCAGCAAAAGCGACTTTTAATTTATACGTTACTGTTCGCAATTTGCACTCTTCAATCAAACATTTTTTGGAGGCAGACCAATTTTTTTTAATCACAAAAATATTATTATGATAAAAATAAATATTATAAAATTTTTATTTTAATATTCAATAAATAAATAAATTTAACTTGTTAAAATCTAACTTGAATGATTCAAATAAAAATTTTGGTGTAAACAGTTTAAAATTATATTGAAAAAATTAAAAAAAAATTAAAAAGTTTAAAATAGGAGTTGAGTTTAGTGAAATAAATTAATTTCTTATAATGTAATCAAATAATGTTTAAATTCTTGCTAATTTCTTACAATGTAGCAAAGTGAGCTAATTTCTTACCATATTTAAAATAAGAGTTGAGTATAATAAAATGAGCTAATATACAAGCATGTCTTGAATCATATTACCTCTCATAGATGGACAGTTGTACAAAATTAATAAAATAAAAAAATATTTTATAAAATATATTTAGTTACAGTTTTAATTGTTTTACTAAAATTTTAAACTATTCAAATCAAAATTTATATATATTAACTATTCAGGTTAAATTTTAATAATTTAAATTTATTTATTAAATATTAAAATAATAATTTATAATATTTATTTCTCATTATAATAACAATTTTGTAATTTAAAAAAAAATTAACATTGCAGAACAGAGTGTTGTGGTGCTTGGCACGAGCACCGAAACCGAATGCCAAAATAACGGCTTTCGCCCGGCCTATACACAAATAAAAAGATTGGGCCCATGAATCACATAAAGTTCGGAGACCGTTAAAATTTTCGAACAATTCGTGGTCTTGTCCCCGTCACAACCTTCGTCTTCGTGTTCTGTTCTTTCCCTCCCCTGTCCCCATGCCTTAACGAACGGATCCTTCGAGCCTCCACAATTGCTGGGCACTACAAAACTCATTCATCACCGATTCATTGTTTGCAAATGATATGAATCTAAATTAGCCAAAAAATTTCCTCACCTATCTCTTCCGTTTCATCTCTTCCGTCGAGAAATGGTTATGTGGAAGATATCGTTGAATTCCCCCTGTTCTTAAACTATTTATGGAGTTTTTTTTAAGTTAATTTTATTTCAGTGATTTATAACTTAATCATCAACTGCGAAAATGTAAGATTATTTCATCACAAGTCCAATTTGATTAAAAAAAAATTGAACCCTTTCTTAATCAGTAACCGGTATACTACACTAACTTTTCCTGTTACTTCTCTTCGATCGTTATAAGCATTCTCTTCCTACATGATGTGTTTCCTGAGATCCCTATTTTTGTCTCGCAGATGGATCGGACGAGGATGAGCGATAGGCAGAGGAACAGCACAGGGTCGCCAAGGGCGCCAATGTCACCGACGATGTCGCCAATGAATCGCCATGCTCAGGCAGGTTCCTCTGCGGCGTTCAATATGCGGAGAGGGCCGAACAATGCTGCCAAAGCTGCCGCTCAGAGGCTCGCACAGGTCATGGCACACGCAGCCGACGAAGATGACGAGGACGACGACCTTGCTCTTGATTATGCTGTGATTAGTGGCAGTGGAAGCATTGGACTCGGAGGAACTGGAAGAGCAACGCCTGCACGAGCTTCCCTGGTAATTGCATTCATGCCTCTCCAGTTGATTGCACTCTACTCGAAATTGCTTACTCTATTCTTGAAACCCATGTTGCTTTTATTAGGCTGTTCGGCCTATTCAAGAACAACCAACATCCGCAAGAACGCGGGTCCCAGTGGTAAAATGGCTTCTTCGAATTCCAGATAATAGGATTATCTTTTAACATGATGAGCTAATTTTGAAACTCTGGTGATGTTGTTTCTTTTAGTCGATTCGGACTGCTCAGAATAACAATGAACAAACTCCAGCTGCTGCAAGACCCCGGTCCCCAATGGTAATTGGCTTAATATCTTCCCATGGCCTAAAAGATGATTGGCTTCTCTTTGAATAATAAAAAGAGCTAATCATGCACGCTTGCTTTAAAGAAAGTTGAACCGTTAATGTTGTTTTTATTAGACTGTTCGTACCGCTCCGGCGGCTCAAGAACAACAACCTCCATCAGCAAAAGCCATATCAGGAGGGCGATCATCTTTCTCAGCTGTAAATAGTGTTGAGCAGCCGTCACCTCCAGCAGCCACATCGGTTCGTTCAGCCATTCCTGGCCATGTCGCGGATCAAGGAACTACTACTCATACAGTATCAGGGAACCGAGCTCTGGAATTGTCTCCATCGGCTCGTACGATAATAGTTACTCGGTCACCTCAACTCAGCGCCATGAATGATCTATCGCCTTCTGCTCGTGCTGCTGCTGCAACTGCCCGTCCTAATCCGGGACCTAAGGCTGCTTCCGTTGGACCTCCTATGGTGCCTACGACACTCAGACAAACCACTTCGGGTATTCCTCCAGAGGCCACTCAGGAAACTAAAAGAGACAAGAGGTGTGCTAGTTTTTACCCCTCGTTTACTTCTTTCTCTCAGCTCGCAGTTGCATCATCATTTTTGTCTGTTTAACTAACATTCCTACTATTCAATATTCGAGTATTCGTTAAAATTGGATCTTTTCAGGCTAGGAATGATTGAGATTTAACAATTAGTTTCAATGTGTCTGCTCTATATCTAATCCTCTGCACTACTGGTGAATACATAGATTGTCACTTGATCTAGGGAGTATGAACTTAAGAGATGGTGCTATTAGTCGACATCCTTCTTCTTCTACAGCTCTTGAGGATGAGGTATGGGCTCTCAAGTAAAATGATGTTCACTCTCTCGATAACTTTAGCAATTCTTGGTTTTTTTTTTTTTTTTGAATGCCACTCCCTCATAAATCAACTTTGTGCCGTTGTGCTTCTCCTCCTAGGCTCCTACCACGCTGCTCAACTTTATTACTTAACTTGTCCTTGCACGAACCCCTAGAAGATACACTAACCTGTTGTAAACTTCATTGCAGCTTGATATGCTACAAGAAGAAAATGAAAGTTTGCTCGAAAAGGTGATGCAATATATTAGACCATGTAATTTATTCTCCTTTAGTCTTCGAGATTCCAGCTGAGTTATTCAAATGTGGCATTGTAGAAGAACGAATTCTGATTATGACTTGCACATAGCCTCTACGTGATGCTTTTAGAGCGAATATTCATCAACAGTCTACCTCTAATGTAGTTGTTTAAATTCACACATGATATGTTAGATGTTATCTGCTGCTTTATACATTTATGATAATGTGTGATATTGGCTTCAAATGTGCTGTTTAATAGAGAAAATTTTTGTTGTCATTGCTATACGTACATGTTTTGCGGACATTTGTTTTTTATATGTGTATCTCCAGCTTCGACTTGCCGAGGAGAGGTGCGATGAAGTTGAATCAAGAGCTCGACAGCTAGAGCAACAGGTAACTTTTCTTGGGGGGAACAGCTATGGTGTGCAAACGTAGTTTGTTTATTGATTGATCTATGTGCTGCCGAAGCTCATTTAATGAGCGGTCACGCTAAAATTATGAACGTGTGGTCACGCTAAAATAAAATATTAATTTAGTATGATTCAAAGTGAGTCCAGTCCCATTCCCAGTGATTTTAGTTGCAATGATTTTCACGGTGAGATTGGAGATCAGATCTAACGGTCTCCTTTCACATGCTTCCCCTGCAGATTGCTAGTCTAGGGGATAATCTTGGAGAAGGTGTAAGCTTAGAGGCCCGCCTATTAAGCAGGCAAGTATTGTCTTTGTCGTTTGTACTCATAGGTTGAAACTGGTATATATAAAATCCAGAACAATTAACAGTCTTACACTAACATTTTTTTAGATTTATCTAAATTATAATTATAATTTGAATTTTATTTTAAAACTATTATAAAATTTCCTTAAAATATATTTGGGTTAAGAACATCTGAGGGCAACGTGAAGCTGACCACGCTTCTTCTTCTTCTTTATTTCTGACCTGTGTGGTTTGTTTTATTCTTCAGAAAGGAGGCAGCGCTGCAGCAAAGAGAGGTTTATCTCCTGTTCTCTTTTTAGTTCTATCCTTTTGCTGCCACCTTCTACCGTCTGCAAGGAGAGGTTTTTATATCTTTTAGTTATATATATACTTTGTTGCATTCTTCTTGATCCAACAAAAGAACTCAGAAAATAAACCACGTCTCCGTAATCCGAGTTTCTCATAAACTGTGATTAAGATTCAACTATGATAATTATTTCCTTTTTAAGGCTGCTCTGAGAGTTGCTGCACAAACTCAGGGATGTACAGCTCCAGACGTTGCAGCCCTTCGTGCGGAAGCTGAGGTATCCAGCAAGCACCTTTAGCTTGTACGTTTATAGTGCTCTCGTAAACTCTATGCACATTTTAACTCACTTTCAGGTCTTGTTTACACAGTGTAATTTACTTATGTTGGATTATGGATTAGATTGCAAGGGAGGAGGCAACATCTGCACTAGAGCAGCTAAAAGAAACCGAGAGTGAGTTAAAATCACTGCGGCTTTTGACTCAACGAATGATACTCACCCCCGAAGAAATGGTTAGCATTTAATTTTGATGAATTACGTTTCATTTCTATTTCTTCTATCATCTTAGTCATATGATTTATGTTTTTCAACCCTCTTAGGAGGAGGTTATTTTAAAGAGGTGCTGGCTTGCTCGTTATTGGGGTTTATGCGTACGCCATGGTAACTTCATCTTATTTTGTTAAAATCTTGAAATATGCGTTATCAGTTTACTGATACGATTACTTTGAAGGTTTGCTTGCAAATTTAATTAGCAAAAGATTGAAAAAAATATTAATATTCATGTCCATTTTGAGAGTATTGAGCAGGTGTTTATCGCGACATTGCTGAAGCTAGATTTAAATTCTGGTCTTCATTTGCCCCGGATCCTGTTGAAGTTGTATTAGCCGCTGGACAGAGAGCTAAAATGGAGACAGGTATTTTTACTTTATAAGATTCACTTTCCTTTCTCTCTCTTTGTCACATATCCATTTCCTTATTCATTTTTCTCATCTTTCTGATACATTAGTTATTATTTTTGTGTTCCTTTGGACGGTAAATTTCTTCAATATTTTTGTATTATACTGCAGACAATGATGCAGAGACAAAAGATAATCCACGTGACCTAAATGAACTTTCTGGGGAGGGAAATATTGAGAATATGCTTTTTGTTGAGCAAGGTTTGCGGGAATTGGCTTCGTTGAGGGTATGTTCTGGAACCAATCCTATTAAAATTCAATTGAATTTTAGGAATAAGTTTCTTTTCTTTTCTTTTTTCTTTTTATTTGAACTTTCATAACAATTGATGCTCAATTAACTCTATGCTTTTTAACAAAGCCTCTCATCTTAGTTTAACAATTTTTCTGATAATGGAACCTCAAAGCTACCTTTTATCCCGGCCTTGTTCGGTAATACATGCTAACCTGTCAAAGTCAAGATCCTACGACTCACAGAATGTGATTCCTTCTGTTTTGACTTCTCACTATTTAACTTTCTTAAGATTTAAGTATGCTCACTCATCAAATAGTGAATTGTGAGAATATCAAACTGAAGACCAGTGGTGTTTGAGCATATTTTTCATTTTTTGTTAGCAGCTGTAGTTCACCAGAATTTTCATCATTGGCTTCCTTTTTGTGATTTTTAAGGTAGAAGAAGCATTGGCATTTACGATGGCACAACATAGGCGACCAAATTTACTGAAGTCTGGCTTTTCAGGTAGGAAGTCCTGTAATTCATACAAATGATTGCAAATATGGTCTTTAATCTTTACTGAGTACTTGGCCTATGCATTCTGAACTGATCAGTGACCTGAGAAAAAGAAGCGTATAATGAAGAAATTTGACCTTGAATGATTCGATTTCTTTTTTTTATTTTTTGGAAGAAATCATGTTTTGTCACATGCATATTCTCTTTTCTTTGCACGTGCTATGTTTCAAAAAGTTTGCGAGGTCAGGGTTTGGGGATCTGACCATTTTCTTCTGTCTTGATCTTTGATACAGATGTCGCAAGACTACCAATTGAAGGGCATTTTGATGCATATGGTAAGTTTATTACGTTTTAGCATCGCAGTTTACATTTCCATGGTTGCGTGTTAAAATCTGAAATGAGGTACTGATGGGGATAAAAAAAAGTCATCGTGTCGGGTTCATTTTGCAATTTCATGGCACTTGTTATATCTTTATTTTTTAAAATATTTGCAATTCTTGCCTTCGAGCACATACAAGTATATATTTATATAGTTTGAGAGAAACCATATGCTTTCAGAATTGGGGCAGGACGAGGCTGAAGACGTTTCTTTTAAGCAGGTAAGTATAAACAATACTTTTTAACTTCATAAGAAAGACTATATTATTGCTCCCTTATTCAAGCTTCCCTTTAAAATATAATTTCATAAGAATGCTGAAATCAAGGCCACCACCAGAAGACTGCAGCGATTTACGTCATCTGTTAATCTTCTTTCTCGGGAGGGTTTGGTTGAGAATATATAATAAAGATATCAGCTGTGTGTATTTGGAAAAATTTCTGGACAGTTTTTGTTTGTCTCATTCAGACATTCACATCTGCTGCATTTATTGGTCTTCCAATTCTTGTATATTATGTTTTGTTAGGCTTGGCTTACGTACATTTGGAGGAGAGCTAAAAGGCATGGGATAGAACCAGACATAGCAGATGAGCGTTTGCAGTACTGGATTAATTTCAAGGCAAATACTTCGCATGATGCAGTCAATGGTACACTCCATCTCTTGCATTTCTGCCAATTTCGAGCATTAATAGCAGAATGCATAGCCGTGATCTGCGTCTGTATGATATTTGATTGTATTCGGGCAACCTTATTATAGGCCACGCATGGCAGAGACATGCCACGAATTAAAAAACTTGTAGGTGAAGTGTTTACTTTGCACACACATGCTCTTTTATAAATGGTGAAGTATTTAATTTACAGGCAAACATATCGCGATTTTATTGCTTCATTGTCGAAAATGAACTTATAGTAATTTATGCCTCGTGCAGTTGAACGTGGCTTGGCGGAGCTCAAGAGGTTTGGAATTGAAACGCAGTTGTGGGAAAAATCTCGCAAAGAGCTGGAGCAAATCATTGACGGTTCCAAAAGACTGAGCCGCTCTGACTTTTGATTTAGGCAGTGAAATTGACGGTTACTTAGATCCCCGTTTGGGCAAAGCTATTCCATTCATTCAATGTGATCGAAGCTGATCTATGGCCATACACACACACTGACACACACACACACCGTCAACCAAGCGTAAAATATTAGGGGTCTAGAAAAATGGCTAATTTAGTTGCCAGCATCCCATGCAATTCTTACACGTTCAGATACATGATGTCAAGCGGGGGAAGACACTACATCGTTTTTTTTTCCCTGCCAGAAAGGCAATACATCTGTTTTAACAATAAGTTGCATGATTCAGAGATTAGACAGCAAAATTGTATAATTTAGAGAATAAGAGGTGATTCATTTTAGAAATTTACAGTTGTTGCGACAAACAAAACTTATTAGTAAGTTTTATACTATTAAATAAAAATTTTGCCTAACTGATATAAATTTTTAAGGTTCAAAATGAAGTTGTAAATGGGGCTGGTGTCCCCTCTTGATTGTTAATTTATCATGGGCTTGACCATTCTTTTCCCTCCTTGAAAAGGAGAGGATAAAACTCATGAGGAGAGGGAAGAAAACACTGAAGAGGGTGAAGAGCAGATATCTCATCTTGTGTTCAGACATGAATTAAAGATGATGAACGTTTAATGAAGACACGTGCACAATGAATAAAAGAGATGAAATGATTTGGAAATATGATAATTTATAACACTCAGGATGAATGTCTATGTATCAAAATCTTTTTGCTTGCAATCTGTGAGAGAAGAATATGGTATAAATAATTGGTTCAAAAGTTAATGGAGACATTAATGTTATGGGCATAAATGAACTTTATAAGAGATGAATGTAGGAAAATGCTTTTCATTCATCTTGATTTAGATGCATGATGTATCTAATGATGGTATATTTTTAAGAATTAAAGCACTGTTGATGTATTGACAAACGGCAATGCTGTTTCATGATTTTGCACTTGGTGGATTGGATTCATGGGCGGAAGAGGGAGGTAAAAAGGCAATGCTCTTTGATACATGTACATATATGTGTCAATGTTTCTGATTTGATTTATTAGTGATATGATCAAAGTCATTAAATTTTATGATTTGAAAGAGGTGATTTATATTAGATTTAAATTTAATTAGTAGCTTGAGTCCACTTACTTAATGAATGTCTTGCATGGCATAAGGCATGTTAGCAACTGTTTGATTTAATCAAATAGTTATCAAAGATTCTACTGTACAATACTTAAAAAGTATTAATTTTAAAATTTTTTGAAAAGGTATTATGTACGATGAGTGTTCTTATCATGAGCATTGTTTTGAATTCTTGAAGAAAATATATCTTAATAATTTTTTGAGCATTAATGTAATTCAACAACTATCAAGACATTCATTGAGAGAGTGAATTTAAGCCACTTGTCAAATCCAAATTCAATTAACATCTATATTTTTTTACTTGAATTTTATATGTTTATATTAAGTTATAACAGCTCTAATATGCTTGGTTGGATTAGAGGTAGTGTGGTTGGCAACTTGAAATTAATTGTCAATCACTAATACTCCATCAATCTGAATATTTTAACTAATTTATTATTATTATTATTATTATTTAAAAAGAAAATTTTTTTATAAAGACCCCTTGATCATAGTTAATAAAAAAAAGAATCACATGAATTTTAAAATTTCATCGCAATCCAACGGCACTGAAGTACAAATAATGACCTTGGATGACCCAAACACAAGTTGTTTATTTCCTTACTATATATTATTTACTACCTTATATTAAATTATTCATTATCCTACTGTATGTTGTTTGTTTGTTATTATTAGTTGAATTCATTTCAAGTATTATCATTGTGCTAATACAAGTTGTTCATTTCTCTATATAATATTATTTATTACCCTACATTAAGTTGTTTATTGTTATATTTTTTGTTATTTGTACATTACTTTCAGTTAATTTTATTTCAAGTGCTGTCATCGTGCTAACACGAGTTATTTGTTTCTCTGCATACTATTATCCGATACCCTATATTAATTTTTTCATTATCTTATTATCTGTTATTTATCCATTACTTTCAATTAATTTCATTTCAAGTGTTGTCATCATGCAAAGATGAATTGTTCACTTCCCTATATACTGTTGTTCATTACCTTATATTAAATTGTTATTTGCCCTGCAGTCTATTATTTGCCCATTATTTTCAGTTGATTTTATTTCAAGTGTTGTCATTAAGTATCATACCAACACGAGTTGTTTGTTTCCTTATGTATTGTTGTTCACTACCTTATATTAAATTGTTTATTGTCCTACTATTCTCTATTTGTCAAAAAGTAAGGAAAAAAGTTGGTTATTTAACTGAAAGTGACGGATAAACCACAAATAGTAGGGTAATGAATAACTTAATACTCTCTTCGTTTAAAAATATAAGACATTTTTTGAGGAGTTAGATGTTCAAAAATATAAGACATTTTTAGTCTTTCGAGATATAAGTATTATCTTTTTTTTAAAAAATACCCCTATTGATAATGATTTTATATTCATTGCAGGGTGTTTAATATAGGTAAATATGAAAAAATAGAATTAGTTAAAAAGTATTAATTACTTTATTGAAGGTGAGATTCAATTAAAAATATCTTATATTTTTAAACGGATGGAGTATAAGAATATGAATAATAGTATGTAAGAAAATGAACAACTTAAAAGTAATGGACAAGCAGCTACCTTTTAATAAAGACAGTTAAATAATTTTTTCTAGGTAGTTTTTGGTTGGAGGAGAGGGGTTTAAAATTTTCACTCCCCTCCAAAACCTCCTTCCTTCCAAATTGGGAGGATCCCCCCTCCCCTCTAATTAAACAAAACTTTAATGTTTTAATTTTCATTGTAGTAGAATTTTAGAGTTTTTAAAATTCTCTTTTTTTTAGTAACCATGATTAAGGGTCTAGGTTGAAATTTTCCTTTTTAAAAATTATTTTATTTATTTATTCATATTCAATGTGTTAAATATATGCACTACTTTTTCACCATTACCACCAATATTTAATAGGATATTTTAATTAACATCTAGTAATTATTTTTTAAAAAAAATTGATATCAACCATGGATATTTCAATAAAAAAGTATTTGATGCAAGAGATAAGATGGATGGGTTATTGCATGAAGGGACTGAAACAAAATGTTTAAAACTTAAAAGAAGCCATTAAACATTACCCTTATCTCCCAAATTATAAGATAATTTTAAAACTATTTTATTATTTTAAAATATAAAATAATTTAAGAAAATTAAGATGTCATTAATAATACTTTTTTAGTACTATTCTTCAAGTAAAAAGAAAATTAAAATGATAATATAATGTAATGATTAAGTGTGGAGATATATTTTTAAAAATTTATAATTTTATTTTCAAAAAGTAAGTTTTTAAAAACATCATTATTAAACTTTATCAATATAAATAATACTTTTTTAAATTATCTTATAATTTAAAAGTTAAAATATAAATTTACCTTTGAAGGAATCTAATGCCCTCGCGTGATACTTTAAGGGGTAAATTTATATATTAATCCTAATTTGTAACGAGAGCGTGTTATCATTTTAATTTAAAACTAAAAATCAATATAAATTTCAATAACTACATTGAATTTAATTATTGTCGCAAAACGAGCAGCGCAAGGCAGGAATCACGCCTCGCAAATCTGATGTTACCATTTTACCCTCCAAACCATATGGCAAGGGCTAAGCTGGTCACACTCGTCCACTATATAACAAGCACGCCCCTCTTTGTCAGATCCTGCTTCTAGATTGTTCCTTGACTGTTCTGTGCTCCACGTCTCCCATTCTTTCCGGTTCTTCATTTTAGGGGTGGACTGAGGTAAGCTTGCCGCTCTTTCTCTTCGTTTCGAATCTTTAGAAGAATAGTAAGGTCCGATTTTGGTTTCGATGTGGTTTCCTCTCATTTCAACTCTGCAAAATAGCACCATATTTCCTTCCAGCTTTCACCAATCTGTTTTGTTTAAATTTCTCTGCTCGTCACGAATTTCCGTCTTATGATTCTGCGTGTTAAAACAAACTGGAACGTGGCTGGTGAATTCAGATCGTCAAAATTTCTGTCTCAGTGTTTTCTCATTTTGTTTATTGTCACCAAGCTTATCATTCGTCTTATACTTTGATCTTCAATTCCTCACGTTTCATGTTTATTGCTTCGGACTGGAGACTGATAGGGGAAATGATGCGAAAAAATAGACAAAAATAGGGGAAAATTGGTTAGTGGCTGGAAGAAGAATCCTTTTATGTTCACTGAAATGCTGGTGAAAGAAACTTTTCTTTAGGACCATTGAAAGCAAATAACCTTTGAGTTGCCCAAATTTTACATTCATGTTTATTTTTATGTTCCTTGAACCTATAGAACCGTAAAAAATGGAGAGAATGAGAGGCAGGTATCTACTGTAAGGTACTTAGCGCAAGTGTTTTATTGGGCATTGTCAAGTGAATTGCTATCTTGTTAGCGTCTTGGATTTTTTGCTGCATAAAAACTGCGTTGTTGTGTAACTAATCAAATTGCTATAAGAGTGACCTTATTATGTAAATACTACTGTGCAGCTGTTAACGGGAAGTAATTGTGTTGTTTCACTGTCTAGGTACACGAGGGCTGACATCTATTAATTAATTGACTCATAATCTGGATTGATAAAACATAGAGTTTGCGTTGTGTACTGTTTGTATTCCTTGTATGATTGATACTATATAAGCAACATGTATTTAGTTGACGTCTTTTCATTATTTTTAGTCGATTTTCTATTTTTCCCCCTCTTCCAAGGAGTGCCCGTATGTTGTCTTCTGTATTTATTCTAAATGGATGTTCAACTGTTTTATTCTTCAAGATCACATAAAACGATGGTAAAGGCTGTGGCAGTTCTTAGCAGCGGTGAGGGTGTCACTGGAACTATTAACTTCAGCCAGGAAGGGGGTGGTAATTTAAATTGGTGCTAGTACTTCCAGAATATTAACCCCCCCAGGCCGGGGGTGTATTAATCAATACCTTATATCTTGAGTTGTCCAGGTCCGACCACTGTAACTGGAAGTCTTGCTGGCCTGAAGCCTGGGCTTCATGGATTCCATGTCCATGCTCTTGGTGACACCACAAATGGCTGCATGTCAACTGGTATAATTTATCAATAATTATCTTTATCATTTTTTATTGTCTGAACCTAGAAACTGGACCACATTTTGTTGATGGTCACAATTACTTTAGGACCACACTTTAATCCTGCTGGCAAGGAGCACGGTGCCCCTGAAGACGAGAACCGTCACGCTGGTGATCTGGGAAATGTTAATGTTGGTGATGATGGTAGGTCCTTATCTATCCTCTTACCCTATTTCTGGGCCCTTGAGGGACTGCATATCCCTAAGGAAGTCATTCATTTTGCCTGTGACTGTATGCCTATATGAACCTTAACAATGTTTTGATCTCATTGTGTAATGTGTTATTCAGGAACTGTAAGCTTCACCATTACTGACAATCAGGTCTGTGATCTATCTTTTCATTGTTTGACGATTTCATCTTAAATTACAGTATAAACAAGTTAAATATTTAATATGCTGATTTATGTCTGCAGATTCCTCTTAGCGGACCAAATTCCATCATTGGAAGAGCTGTTGTTGTTCATGCAGATCCTGATGATCTTGGGAAAGGTAGTTGACTATCTGCTTTATAATGTAGAGGTCTTTTGATCATTAGAATGAGCCATTGATGTTTCTTCTGAATTCTGATTGAACAAGGAGAAATCAGTAGCTTCATCTCACTTGTCTCTTCGAAGATTCTTGCTTTTGTAGAATGAGGAATGTTTGTCCCTTAATATTAAGATGTTTGTGATTTATAGCTAGTTTTCTGCTGCCACGGACTCAAGTATACTCGTTTTGATGCTCATGATTTAGTCTTTTGTTTGACCACGTGTGTGTATCAGAGCTGCTGTTCATTCCATCTGCAAGTATTCTGTGGCGTTTACGTTTCTTACTTTCTGTAAGCTCTGTTCTATTCTATATTCAGGTGGCCATGAGCTTAGCAAATCTACCGGAAATGCTGGTGGCAGGGTAGCTTGTGGTAAGCCTGCCAAACCACGTTTTGTTTAAAACTTATCTGCATATTGTTTTGTAATGTCAATGTTATCCTTGTTTACTACCAAAATGATAATAATAATTGGTTGTGATGCTACAAATTAAGGTTATACAAAAAAGTCCTTTTGGAGAATATGTCAACTGACAGATATGGGTTGACCGCCTTTTTCAATCAATTTGTATCCTTGGCTAAATGTAGTAATAATAATATCAACAGCAACGACAACAATAATTGGTTGTTACGCAAAACTGCTATGTTTTAATCTGAGTTTTCTCCCCTAAAAAATGCATCTCATCTTATGCCGTGCGATGGTTTCAGTTCCTATTTTGTTGTCTGCTAATATTGACTGAAGCGCTTGTTCCTTGGCTTAATTCGTTTAGGTATCATTGGACTGCAAGGATGAACTACCTCTCCGCTCCTGGTTGACATGAAATAGGATGTATGCGTATGATGCTTTGGAACTCTCAACTCTCAAGCAATAAACTTTTGGAATCTGAAGTGTGTTATGCTCCTGTGTAGATCTAATGCTTGGTCAAACTGTTACTTTTGACGCTCTGAGTTTTGGTTCGTTGGCTTGTGGCATGATATATGATGCATCTTCTGGAGGAATAAAAAACGGGATATTTATAATTATGTGAATTGTTAGTCTTCCTTCTATTTTATGTTTATCCGACTGTCTCAGGTACTTGAATGACGTAGGAGAGTTCTCTCCTTTCCTTCACCTCCTTCTCTCCACTTCCCTCATTTTGACCGTTCATTAATTTTATAATTTTAAAAAATTATTTAATAAAATAATATAAATGGCTAGGATGGGATAAGTGGAGAGAAAAGGAGGTAAAGCAAAGGAGAGGCCCTCCCCACGTGGACTCGCCGAATTGCTTGAATGACGTTTATTATTATTTTTTTAAAAGGGTACAAAGATATTTTTTATTTTTAAAATTTTTTATTTTATTTTTTATTGTTCAGCACATTGCTTGAACTTTGCAGGGTTTACCGGGCACCATTGAAATCTATAGAAGTGAAATTTTAGTTAAGCTGATACAACTATTGCCAGATGAACCCAAGTATTACACATTTAAGAATCTCAATTTTTAATGAAACGTGCTATCACGATTATAAAGTATAATTTTTTGTATAAATTTATGACATTTCTGCTAATTTTTTTAGAAAATTACTATAAGCTCTGTAGTCATTGTTTTATGGTATGGTCATTTAATATTCCTCGCTTAATTGATGTGATATGGGGTGATAACTTTTCAAGTTTGCTTTGCAAAATATTATCATCTTCTGGGTAGTAGGATGTTGTAGTTAATTTGAACGGAATCATAGATAATAATGTTAAAAAAATTGTAGATGTGCGGATCGTTCCACAATTGGATGCCTGGTATCATGCTACTTAATGAAGAAACCAGACTAATTGTTTCCCCCCCCCCCCCCCCAAAACGATACTATACTCCTCCCCATTCAGTATTACTGTTACAAACATTCTTTGTAAAGTATCATGTTAAAAACATATGGTATTTTAGGCTTTATAATAATTTTTTAAAGATGTTTCTAATTAGGAAATGTAATTAATAAATTTTTTTTAATTGAGATACTTTATTAAATAAAAATAAATCTGAAAAGAGTGTAATTTTAATAATCAATTGGGTAACTTGTTAGAAGTGTAATTTAGTAAAAATAATTTATAATATTAAATTGAGAGAATATCTTCAATATGCCGAAGATATGCTCCTTCCAAATTCTTTGTATAAAAAAGAAATAATTGTTTAATGCAAAGAAGGAAGACAATTAAAATCAAAAAGCACGTTTAGTATTAAATTTTTAAAATATCTTGATTGATTGTTTGACAGGATACTTGTATATTTAATGATGTTAACTTAAATGAGTAAAAAAATAAAATTTATAATAAATGCAAGAGACCATGGGTAGTTAATCCTTTGTAATTTATATCCAAAAAAGTCTCTTATTTGCTTTTTATAAATAAATTAAAGGGGAGTATTATTATGATCCCTTCATATTACTCCCCACATTTTAAATTATAAGACACGTTTAGATAAAATTCTACATATTGACAAATCTAATTAAATACACTTAATAATTTTATCTTTCTAAAAAAAATATAAACTTTTAAAAATACCCATCATTTAATATATTATAAAAGAAAAGAAATGAAAATTAACTTTAAAGAGAGAAAAGGTAATATTAAAATTGGTGCATTTAATGAAATATTAATCTATCTAAAGTCTTATATTTTGAGCTGATTTTTTTTTTCAAAAGTGTTCTATAATTTAAAATGGAGGGAGTATAATGTAAGGCATTGTTAATTAATTCATGAAAAAATGTTAGTTAAAATTTTGATTTCTTAAAAAAATTTACATCTTTTCAATTATATTTTCATTAAATCCTCTATATAAGTGCCTTGACAATTACAATAAAAATTTTAATGCATTATTTTTTTAAAAAAAATAAAAGTAGAGATATGATTTAAAAAATAATTATAAAAATTACTCAATACCTTATATTTTGAATTAAATAAAATTTCTAGAAGATATCTTATACTTCCTTAATTCAAAAATGTAAAGCATTTTTAATTAAATTTCGCTTACTAATAAAATAGTTATCTACTTTTAAATTAACCCTATCTTTTTATATTTACTTCTATTAAACGTCTTATAATAAATATAAAATTATTCATAATAAAAAAACTTTTGAAAAAAAAACAATAATTATAACTCAAAAAATTAAAAATACTTCACATTTTTTTAACATTCAACTCTTTAAAAATGTTTTATATTTTTGAATGGGAGAAATATTATTATACAAAAGGGTATAAGATTTGGGCATGACTTCCTATTTCTTTTTGGCTTGGGAAGTATCAATCCTATTACCTCTCCCTCTCTCGTATGAAAAGCATCACTCTCTTCGACCAAAAAATTAGAACTGTGTAACATGGTATATATGGAATTTGAACCACGTAGACGTAGGCAGAAATTTCCCCTTCCTATCACAAGAAGCACAAGCAACACATTATAATATAGCGTGCACAAACTGCAAATTTCGCTAATTTATGATAATAAATTGTGAAAACAGTGAACTAAATATCAGTTCAGTTTAAAAAGGGAGATTCAGAGAGGACTACGGTCCCCTATCCCTAGGTATTCACACCAAAGTTCCTATACGAGGTTCAGTGCTTGAACTCCACAGAATTTACAGAGCCTCACGTTTTAGATGTTTCTTTGGTTCTCTTCCCCATGCCACTGATAATGACCCTTGCTTTCAGTAGGTGAACCAGGATCTACAGGAACAAAACCCCTCCCGCCAAATACTGGACGCATGAATGCATCATCAAACTTACGCCAGTAATGATGAACAGTGTGTGTTGGAGTGGCTAATAGTGCACGAATGCTGCCTGGACGATGAATATGGCCACCAAGATCAGCTTCAGAATCTTGGGCGGCACCAAGCAATGGCGTAGTTACAGATTTTGGAGTAGATGAATCTGCCCCAGTCACACTGACCTTGTGTTTGGGATGAGGCAGCAAAAGCCTTATGAGTGGCTTAGTCATCAAACCGAACACCTAACAATTTAATTAGAATGTGTTAGTATCACCGCTAAAAAGAAATTTTAATGTGACATTCAAACCATATACCTGATTTTGGAATAAAATCTGAATAATAATTTGTAGTCACGGGGTGAAGGTGCAATTATTCATGGATTCTCACAGATCGACATAATAGAGCAATTTATTTGGATCATAGGTGCAAACAATATAGCAGTAACCTCACTGTCCTAGTGTCAGATGTATATATATAAGCAGACTAATATAACTTATCAAGCAACAAAATCAGGCCAGTTAATTACAAATTTGATCCCCCGGTACAAGATATTACATTTTACCTCAAGTAGTTAATTTATCACAACAAAGTAAAGATCAGGGACATGAAGTTTGTGTAAGATGTCCAACAAATAAGCAAATGTCTTACCCCAGTGCTGAAAAGCACAACAGTAATGGTGCTGGTGATCATGATTGCATTGGACCGCTGTTGAGTATGACCTGACATCGTGAACTGCAGTTTGAAAGAGTATTATTAGTTTTGCAATAACCATACCTTCGAACAAGCGAAGTTTTCCCTACCTGATTATAGGCAAGTGCCATTGAAACAGCACCCCTCATAAGACCGGCCCACCAAACGATCACCTACACCAAGAAACTGTCAACATAATTTGGCTGCCCAGGAAATGTAGAAAAAGGATATTTAGAGGTTACAAGAATGAAGCCATACTTGCTGCCGGATGGAAATTTTCTCATTTGGTGACTTTTTAGCCAAATTCGATAAGAAGGATAAGGGAAAAACAAAAGCTGCTCTCCCAGCAAGTACTAGACCCAGCAATATTGAGCTAACTGCTACTGATGTGCCAGGGCTGCAGAGAAAAGAAACCAGGTGGGATACATATTTTATTTTGTTCCCTTTATAAAAGACAAGGAAGTTTTGTTGTGAGAAACGAAAACTTGAAGTGCGGATGAAGAGATGTCCATAAACATATTCTAACATGGGTTGTTTCAATATAGCAGCCATGTACTTAACTGTTATTAGAGTAGAGTTGTGGCATTCAACAAAGGTTTTTTTTTTTTTTTTAAAGAAGAGGACCGATGAGAAAATGACGCATCAATTATGAAAATAGAACATACCTATCACTGACAAATCTCCACTTTTCGATGTCCAAGGCGTCCATACCAACATAAAGAAATAAGAAAGTCTCAGCAACAAATGACAATGTTGCAAAAGCATGCCTGTAATGGCCAGTGGAAAATATTTAGTCAGAAATAGATAAATTCTCTCACGTGACCACACGGTCATGTTACTAGAAAGGAAGACACACATAATAATTAATTATAGAAAGACAAAAAATAAAAAAATCATTGCTATTACATCACATGATAAGATACAAATTCATAGTTAGACATTCACATGCATAATTGTACTGTCCCACTACCTCAAACAAATTCATTCAGCTCACGAATATCAGTTAAGAACGCATACTTTGTAGTGACTCTCGAGCTTTCAGTAACATTATGCCAGGTATAATGTGACATCACAATTCCACAAAAGAATACAGTGAGGATGCCACTCAGATAGCATAACTGCAGAAAAAACTATATGTATCAGCATCATGCATATGACCAGTATCAACCATCAAATCAAAATTACATAGTAAAGCTCTATGAGGACAGGCTCCAGCCGGCTAAACATTCTTAAAGTTCATGAAATCTTACTTCAGCAAGCATGTATGAAAGGTATGCCATTAGCATCATAAGAGCCACCTCACGATCTGTTGAGTGCCTAAAATTTGGAGAGAAATGTAATGAACCTCGGTAAAAGGACTATTATGTGCCCTCAAGATTAATACAGATATATGAGCAGACACACACACACACACGAGTGATAGCAAATGATAAGTCATGGCTAACAAACAGAGGAGCATGAGACGTGAGTCATGTACAAGCCACGCAAGTTGCTCTGACCCATGCCCTATGTTAGCTATATACTTGTCATTCCTATCATTAACTCCCAAGGAATTTAGAGACAACAATGAACTATTAGGCGTTTATTTGTTAAACTAAATACCCGTAGTTAAAAAACCCATTCTGCTAATAAGACCATGATATTTCATCTTTAACTAAAATGTCTTCATGCAGTTAATCGTTTGAATTTGTTCCTAACATGTAGTAAAATAATTTAAAGTCGGAAAAATTATATCGAGAACCAGCTAATCAATGAAACCCCTAACACTGGCTTCAAGCCAGAATGAACCTGTTAAACAATCAAATTAGGTGGTTTTATCTCCTTCATCTGTAGACTTGAGGTGTCATTACAAATAAGAGCATGATGCCATTGTCATAAATGCATAGCACATGATGGCAACAATCCTGCCACAAAGATACCTTCCAATATACAGCTTTTTGATGATGTATGCACTAAGTAGACCTGCCTGCAAGGTGATAGAGATATGTTAGACCATACTCACTGATGTGCGCGCGCGCAAAAAGTGAATGCATGAAAGAAGTTCAGGAAAGAAAGTTACCAAAACCCCAAGCATGGTGCTCGCAGCAAAGAGATACAAGAAGTTGCCAAAAAACCGCAGTGCAGTTCTGAGGTCAATATTGTTGAGGTCAAAGCTATGGATTGCATTGAAAAGTACCACAGATGTAGCATCATTAACAACTCCCTCCCCAAATACAAGACTATAGAGTAAAGGAGTCTCATCCTGATTTAGCACCTGCATCATCATTTTCAGTTCAAAATTAACATTGCAGCCATAGTTGCTAGAAAGACTACAGGAAATACATTGCTCCAAACCTGCAATGTGCACACAGAATCTGTAGCAGCAAATATTGCACCAATTGCTGAAAATTTTTTTAATATAGTGAGTCAGAAAAAGAATGATGAGTTGCAAAATAGAGAAGGGCAAATATAGTACCAAGATATTCCCCTACATCCATTGAGCCAATATTCAACCATTTAAAAGCTTCCGTAACACCTACAACAATGCATTAAATTCAAGTCAGCAGACTCCGAACAAGAGGATTTCTGCATGGCCAGTTTGCTTAAAGTGATTAGCTTATTCCATCTTTGTGGAGAGCTTTTTATCATTAGAAGTAGACATACCCAAAGTTATGATGCTACATGATATTAATGTACCAACAGCACCAAACAACACAATGGTGATGAAGTTTTTAAAGAACTGCTTCTTTTTCACCTGAAACCTGGAATAGAATGCAGAGAAGAAATTTTTAACAAAACAGATTAAAATATAATGTAATCACAACATTGCCTCTTTTTTAATCACTCCAACCACTTAAAGATATATATATATATATATATCAAGGGATTATACAATCCAAGTAATTCAAAAGCACGATCCAAGAAGACCAAGTTGAATAAAAGTTCTATATCGTATATCTTTCAATATTGTAGAAACTGGAAAAGCAACGAAGTCCATAAACTAAAGATGTAATAGTCCTATCTCACTTGTTCATAAGCCAATACTTATAAACAAGAGAATAGAGTACCAGCAAAATTTCAAACATCTTGACTCAAAGGATGCCATATGTTTCTAAAGGCTCTGATAGAAGACATTTCTTCTGAGATACAACATCAGAATGTACATCATTCATTAAATACACAATAATATAAGTGCATGTGAGGGTCTTAGACCAATTTAAGAGTATCACATTGGACTATCTAAGTACAAATCTTCATTTATCAGCCAGTGAATATTTCACAACAAGCTGGCTCATCATAATGACAATTACAGAGTCAAATATGGAATCCTGATTTTTATAAATCAATGGTACAAAAAGTTTACCCGGCATTGAATATAATAGGTGGCAGAATGTATATAAAGAAAAGATCTTCACTGAAAACAAGAAGATGTGAGCTTTTGCCACCACTAATCAGCAAAATTACTACACCAGTGCAAAGACCCTGAAATGCATATGAAATTCAGTGACTGTCAAGTGAAAAATAAACAAGGAAAGGAAAGGCAGCATCCCTTATTGCTCAGCCTAGACATTTTATGTACATATGCATTATTGCCTCTTCAAAGTGAACTTCTATGGGTGAGGTGATCCATAACAATATAGGGTGTAGAAGTCAGTTCCTTCATAATAAATGTATTGCCAGTGGCCTAGTGCCATAATGGCATCACGCACCCTTTAAAAGAGACAGGTTGCAAGTTCAACCTCTGGCTGGGTATAGCCCTTCGTGGGAGTTTGGTGGGGTATGAGTTTTCCTCCCTTATGGGGGAGGGTTGCAAACTTGCAATAGGTTGCGCGCGCGCGTGTGTAACTGTCCTTTCCAAATATAAATATATATATATATATATATATATAGTAAACGTATTGCAACAAGTTATAGAAAAGCTAATACTTACAATTAATAGGGCAGTGATGGACTCATTCATCCACCGGTTCTCCTCAAGAAGATGTCCAATCACAATGCAAGCACAAAGCAGTGCTACAAATAGGTTCATGGAGACGACCGAGGCATGATCAGACGTGGATAGCATTTGCAACTTCGAGAGTACAGAACTCAAATCATAGGCCATTTTGTTGGCCTCTAGAACAACCAATTACAGAACCAGAGATTATGAACACGCTTATGGTTTAGTTACTAAATTCAAAATCACTTTCAGAAATTTCTGTCTCCAAGTGGTTACATATAAAGAACCTTCCGATCTTAATAACCAGAGAGTCTCTGCAAGAGTAAGAAATATGAAAATTAAATTGATGACAACTGACAACCAAGAGAAATACTACAGCCCAGGACCCACTTTGAACCATATTTTTCCCTGGAAATCGGAATGAGCATCTTTGCGTGATGAAAATAGATAAAATTCAAATAGGCGTACAGTCTTTCGAAAGTGCACAAACGCTGGCATGCTAACGTTTACTTTTCAATAAAGCAAGTGGATCTCGAGTCGTAATGAAAGCAAAATACGAGAAAGAAACAAGGGACATGTTTGCTTGAGATCGAATTATAGAAAGCGAAATTGGAAACGAAAGATAACGGTGAAATTAAGATACGCAGTTTCAGTAAGATAAACTCTTTAGCCTCATGATAATATGTTACGATTATGGAAAATTAAATTCCGCCTCATATGTCACAAAACAAACAGTGGAAAAGGTTGTGCCCAATAATTCATCTACGTATCTGCATAAAATACAGCGAACTCACCAAACGGGCTCCTGCTGGCATGTAAAAGAAGGACATCTCAAAAAACCTTGGAATTTCTTCATTTTGTTTCCGGAAACAATGAAGCCGAAGTCAACAGAATTGGGACAGAGAAAGCTAACGGATGAGTCTCTGCCTATCTTGCGCGATTCAAAGAACGCAAACTCCGGTGACGGACGGAGAGGGACAGAAAGGAACAGCGTCCGCTTAAGATTGAACGTGAAGCACAAAGGAGGCGGTCAGAAAATTAAAGAACAAACGATGTCTTCCTTTTCTACAAGATACTTGTGTATCAAATAAATTAGGAGGGCTTGGATGTTGAAATCTCTGGAAATAATAGAGATATAATAGACGGCAATAGTTATAAAGGATAACAATAGTTGGGAGAACGAAGTGAGAAAACCGTGAGGTGCAGGGCAGGGACGAAGACAGATGAGAAAGCGAACAGTCATGGATCATTTCCGTTGATCTGGACGTTTGTCGTCTTTCATCTTTTCTTAGTACCCGATCATTTGATGTACTTATTTCCTTCTCTCTTAAATATAAATTTTTTTTAGTCAATAGGTAATGCTCATGAAAAATAGTTGAAGATTAGTTGTTTTCGATATACGGCGTATATTAAGGGGAAAAAAATAATGTTTCGCGACATTATAAAATGACAAATAAAACATGATTGGAAACACAATTTAGAATATGTTGATATAAAAGAACATGATAATATGTTGTTACTGATTAGTACTCTTAAATTTTTTTTTATTTTTCACTTGGTTTTTAAAATTTTATAATTATGATTATTATAATTAATATACTCTGTATAGTTTTGTTGTTTATTAATTCTCGATAGACATTTTATTATTCACATTTCCTTTGAATTTTACGAATCATCGACTAGGCATGTCATATGTACTCAACTTAATATTTTTAATGCATAATTCGAATCTGGTCTGGCTAAGAAATTTAATACACATGTTTTAGCCTTAGTATCATATAAGGTAATGGGACAAAAATATTGATCAGCCACGGGCACCTAATATCCTAAAATGAAAAAAGTGATAAAAATATCCATAACGTTATATGGGTGAGTGCAAAAGTGATCAAATCGTTAATTCTGATCATTAAATGTTAACTATGCATGTTACATGTTAATTTCTGCTGACGTGGATTAATAAAAGGGCAAAAATATTCATGAAATCTTAGACCAAGAACAAAAATATCCATAACGTTATCAGAGTTAGTGCAAAAGTATCAATCCATCCAACCCCTTAAAGGTTGATCATTTAGTTGACACCTAAGTGGAAATTGACTATTTTTTCACTAACATAAATAACAAATATTCTCAAATAAATTTTTACGGATGTTAATCGATCATCATATGAGTATCCATAATGTTATTTTAGTAGGTACAATAGTGATCAATCCGTCAAAATCAATGTCACATTGTTTTTTTATATCATCACATATTTTGTCCCCTTCCTTTTTTCTTCTCCACTCATTTTTCTTATCTGTAAAACCTGAGGTTTAACATAGTAAGATAAATTATACAAAATCAAAGATCGAGACTGAGCACATCTAGCTTGAGAATATTGTCACAACCTTAAGCAATTTTGATTGGTTTTCGCTAATGCTGCAAAGAAACAGGCAATTTAGTTTGATATTCAGTCAAAATGATATTTTCTCATATGATATTCATATAATAATCAATTAGCTTTCAAAAAATTTTATCTAGAAATATTTTTTATCCATATCAGTAAAAAAATGATCAACTTTTATTTAGCTGTCAGTTAAGTGGTCAATATTTAAGAAATTAGATGGATTAGTACTTTTGCACTAGCTCTGATAATATTATGGGTATTTTTGCTTTTAGTCTGTGACTTTATGGGTATTTTTACCCCTTTATTAGTCCACAGTAGCAAAATTAATCACTTTTGTACTCATCCATGTAACATTATAGATATTTTTATTTTTTTTTCTCACTTTTGGATATTAAGCATTCATAGCTGATCACTTTGTTAGGGTTTTGCCCCCTCACCCTATTATATATTATTTAATATTTTTAAATCAGTATTTAATTTTATTATAATTGTTTTATTCATTTGAGTTACTGTCGTTAACATTTGAAATCGCAAATGAAAATTTTGCCATTACATTTTTCTCCAGCATTAAAAAAAATGGATTAATAGGATTGGATTATTCAGGGAGGAAAAAAAGGGCGTGGAGAGCACTGGATTATAAATGGTCTGGGAACTTTTGAAACGTCAACACTAAATACTTTAACATGGTACCATGACACCCAACAAAATGATGACAATGTGCAGAGGGGGCCAAAAAAAAAAAACCACGATTTTCGAGTGTAGTTGGCGCAAGAGATGAGGAATCCAAGTTCGAGTTCAATTCGGCCAGCTTGAATACCCAGATATATCTTTTTTAAAACAAAAAACAAAAAACTCATGATCAAGTTGGTCTGACACCTTGGATTTTCAATTTCATTCCGACAGGTCCAATTACTCAAATTGCTATAAATTTTTGAATTTTACTTGATGAAATATAATTGTTTGTTGCCCCCGGTCTCTTAAATTTCATCTAACGTTAATTTTTTTTAAATCACTTACAGGGTTAAATCTGCTAATATTTACACAGCTCCAATGTTAAATTGGTAAGATTATAGTAAGTTGGATATTATATAAGTAAAATGGCATCTAACTTTTATATCATTTAGCTCTAGTTGCCGCCAAGTCTTCAACATCCTAGAGCTTCACTCGTCGCACTTGTAGAAATTATGGTTTAATTCCATGCTTATTTTTCCTTGCTTTCTACTCATTTTTCACCATCATTACAATTTTAATTAACAAGTCAACACAAGAAGTAATGGGGTTTATATGCACATTAGCTACAATTAAATCTTTATATGGGCTAATGTTGCATGTGGATGAAATTTAAGGGATTAAAGCAATGAAATAAAATATAAGAACTAATACCAAAATATGCCAAGAATATGGGGACCATCGATTATATCTTCCTATTTTATTTAATTTTTCAGCCAATGTCCACTTTTGTCTTAAACAATTAAGATTTTTCAAGTAATATAATACCACAACCAATCATTCCTTGCTCTTTGCTAGTGTGAGACCAAGCATTGAAAGAGTCAAATAAAAGCACATAAAACTTTTTTCGCCCTCGCATTTTTTCCCTCAACATCTTGAAAAAAATATTTAAAATAAATAGTTGCAAGAAAAATTAAATTTTATCCGAGGGTGCAAACTTTGAATCTAGAAGAGGATTTGTGAGCATGGAATGAAAGTTAATCTTATTTTATTGATAGCTGTGGTGTTACTCAGGTCAAAACTGTTTGGGTTCAAGTTTGACCCATCACATTTTCTTCCCAAATTTTCTCTTCTTGCATTGAGAGGTCTTGGAAAAAAATTATTACTCTATAACATCCAACTTCTTAATTTTCACTCGTGGTCCCTGCTCAAGAAACATGTATTTCTTCTCATAGGACCGCCTCTACCCCATGCTCTTCTTATTTTTCTCAAATAAGTTATCTCGCCAAAGCCTCACCCTACTATATGGATGAACATTTGTAGTATTTTTTAAGTTCTGGACTTTAATCAATTTCATGTTAATATCAATGCCTTTCATACTTACTTTTATTTAATAAGATATCTCGTTTAAAGGTAAAATATTGTGTAATTTATTTATCAAAGGTATTTTTGAAAAAAAAAAACTTATTAATCACACATTAAGAAATTTTTGATTAGGTAACCCATCATAATTGGAGAGTGGGTCTAGCGTAACCACACGGGGTGGTCTTATGTGAATTAGTAGCTTATGACTTCAATGAAAATATATAATGAGAGAAATAAGGCAATCACATTTGATCATACAAAATACCTTATGTTGATGCTTGCTTGTAAATTTGTGAAACTCCACGTGTGAGTTTATGTGATGTTTGCTTATAACTGTCATACTTTAATAGGCTTTAATTAAATTACTTTATTATTGAAATTGTATAATCTTACTCCAATTTATTAATACTCTCCATAGATGATAATTTTAGGGGAAAGAAGGAAGCTTTAGAAGCTAGGAACTAGAGCTTCATCTTGTAAAGTCATTAATTTGGTCTCTATGTAATTGAACACTTATCTTGCTAACAATAGGGCATTATGTGTTAAACTTTATTTGTCACTTGCATGTAACCTTGGTTGTAGAGTTGGGCATTTTAGTGGATGGCCTCTTATACTTTTAAGCAATGCAAGTGTGTGATTGCATTATAATTGTTTTATTTTTGGCATGTTGAATAATTAAGCATGCTTAGTATGTCTATGGTTTATATCATTTATGGTTGTATGTTGATGATTAGGATCATTGAGTTGAGGCACTTGGTTGAATTATTGGAAGTGTGGCACATATGAGTATAGCCTAAAGTTTCCAAAAAGCTCATATGATATCATAATAAGGCATGGCCGAGTCTACTGGTTAGATTATTTAATTGTCTACATGTGAATGCATAGATAACCTTAATAGGAGGTTTGGGCTAAAAGTTAAACACCTAAAAAATTGATGATCGAGAGATATAATTGTTGTTGTTGGATTTTGCATATGCACCACATTGGAGGGCTTGTTTAGCCACAAAAAAACAAGGTCGAGCATGTTGGCTGCAATGAATAATCCTTTTGTCATGAGCTGCGGTGAATGCTACCTTGATTGTGGTGGATGGTGTTGTTTTTTGTGAAAATAACTCCTTGATCTCATCTTAACTTGTTTTAATGCTCAAACTTATTTTCATACTCATGCAACTATTTGTATTATGATTTTAAGTGATTTCAAGTGCCTTAATTACTTGCTTCCATACTTAAAGTTACTTTGAAATCGCATTTGTTCAAAGTGTTTTAAAATTTATTTTTGAAATTTTCAAATGATCAAGACTGATCTTGTATTTATTTGGTACCTTTTTAAATCTAATTAGTTGGTCTTAAACTTGTGATTTGTTATTGATTAATGTCTTGAATATATTATAGACCTGACTTAAATTATCGACTATAAGCAAAGTATTACTCCCTTCAATTTCATTTATAATATACCTTTTAGAAGGTTCATTTATTTTCATTTATAAATTACAGTGTGACTTTTTAAATAATGTTTAAAAGATATTTTTAAAATTATTTTTTATGAAAAAGTGAAAATAACATATACAGAAGTATATTTAAAATTTTTTACACTTTTATTTTTTTTACTCTTTTAAATTAATATTAATGATATTGATAAAAATAATTTATAAAAAAATGGGAAAAGTATTATTTAAGCTCACTAATCTTGACCTTCCGGATTCCCCTCTAAAAAAACCAACAAAAAACGCGCGCCTCATCAACCTTCCAGTTTTGTTTTCTGCTGCAGTGAGAAAGGAATCTGTACCTTTTTTTTTAATCTTTTATTTCGAAGGAAAGGGGATTGGTACTTTTGTCTTTTTATGATGGCTCCAAAC